AATGCAATCCCAAGTGTCCTACCCCTAAGTCTAAATGCATTTAGGAAAAACAGCAATTAAATTATAATTTTGCTAGTTTTTGCTTGGACATGTCAAATATATCTAATCAATTTGTGTAAAACATTTTCATTTTAATTTTGCAACTTATAAAGCTTTAAAATATGTTTTTATTTTGCATATTAAAACTAGTGTAGGAAATGGCAAATGTAAATTATATAGTTGAATTTTCATTTTCATTTTACACTAAATATTGCACATATGTATGGGGAAATGTAAATTTAAATACAGAAATACATTGCTATTTTACATATTGCACTGCCATTTTGCATATTACATTTCAAATTGAATTTTGCTACCCATATGCTTTCATAGATAAAAACTGTTAATTGTCATTAGAAAAGAAAAAAGAAACACCATGAATGTCATGAACTGCTGTCCCTTTAAAACATGACTCACATCTGACACATCCCAACTCTTTACATCAGTTAAAACTCTTTAACTTATTTAAGACTGTCACTCGCCAAAAATGGTCATTTTGACATACTTTTGTCCGTCTAAGTGCGAGAGAACTCGATGCACAACTGGCGAGCGCTCTGAAGCAGCATTCTCTGCGCGTGCATCATGACGTGTGCATTCACAGACAGTAACGTTACCGAATTAACTTCCCGAGTGTTTGTGTGTGTGTGTGTGTGTGTGTGTGTGACATAAACAAGACAATAAAAAGTCTAAACCTACCTCGTTTGGCAGAAAAGGTGATAGTGTTATCCTTGAAGAATTCCGTGATGTCAGAACTAGTCCTGTCTTAATCTCTTTTAATATACTGCATCTGTGCCAGCGCGTGATGTAATAAAACTGCAGCTCGTTAATAAAAGTTTTTTTTTTTTTATCCATTTTATACAATCCGCCCTTCAATTAGCAAGTGCACTCCCGCATACACAATTTTCAAGTTCAATACTTTTTGTTCCGTTCAGTTGTGGATGCTGCTGATTCACCGAGACCGCCGCCGGCTCAGCAAAGAGACATGCCTGTGTGTTTTCCTTTGAAAAAGTTTCCCCAGAAATACTTCGCTATTTAATGCATTTTTCCTTACAAATTGTATTAAAAGTACTTGTACTCTACTCGCATTACATTTTTTGGAAGGTAATGGTACTTTTACTTGAGTATATTTTTTCAGTACTCTTTCCACCACTGCAATCATGCAGTGTGAATTATCAAAGACGCGATCTGAGAGAATCACAATCCTGCTGTGTGAAATGAGTTCTGACTGAAAAACACATCAGCGATGACCTACAGCTAATGAGAGAGCACCATACAAGGCAGCGGGAAGTTCGGGGAGGAGTTATATGAAACGTAGTTTGCGGACCAGTGTTGCCAAATCCGCGATTGCGGCCAGTTGTTTTTCATGTCAGCAGGTTGAAGCGACCCCAATAACGTGATATTTAGGCCCTGGAATGTGAATTGTACCAGGAGAACCCCGCCAAAAAAAAGTGTATTTTACCCCCAAACGCAATTTTTACCGGGGTACCCCTTCGAAAGCAATTGGGCTATTTTCAGGCTAGTTTTGAGTAGTAATTGGGCGGGTTTTGTAGCGAAAACCTGGCAACCCTGCACCAGACAGAGTTATCGGTGATTCTCCCTATTGTAAAGTCATGCAGTGTGTAACCTCCTGTCGTCATTCCATCGTGCAGTGTGAACACAGCAACAACTGAATGCTACCCCAGATAGTCGTTCAGTGTGAAACCAACAGTGATGCGACGTCTTTGAAAATCGTGCAGTGTGAAATCAGCATAAGGTAAGACACAGTCCAGTCTGTGCTGAAACGCTACTGTCAATCAAACTATCGTGGGAGGGGCCTGTCTGTGTGACGTCACACAGACAGGCATCTGAGATCGGCTCGATTTGAGAAAGGGGAAAACATTTAACCAGATTTAAAAAAAAACACTGGGTGGATTTTTATCATTATAGGGTGGTTGTGTACACACACTGCCAACACACATGTCAGTTCAAACAACTTGTAAAAGTGCATGTAGCATCCTATGACCCCTTTAAATAAAAAAAAAGTCATAAATGGTGTCTTCTTTTCTTGACAATTCCTCTGCCAGCTTCTGTTGAAGGCATAAAGCGCTCTAAACAGTTATACCGCACTTCAGATTTAACTTTATCACAGCTGCTTAACATCACCTCAGTAACGTTAATATGCCGGATGCTTTACGACACGTAACAAATATGCAAAGTAACAAATACATTAACAAATACACAGCATCAACAACAATTAAAAGTTAATAAACAATTAAAAGTAAGCACACTGTAACACGTACCTCCACGTCGAGTAAGATGTGACGGTATGCTGAAAATGTTGAATACGACGGCTCCGACATTCATTTGCCAAACAAGCCTGACAGCAACTAAGTTAACGTTACAGTTTGTTACATTTAGCAAAAAATAATTTACCACGGAAGTGTAAGAACGGTTCCCCAAACCCGAAATCCGACTTTAAAATGAAATTTGACCGAGACTATCTCCGTGAATAATGGCGCCTGCTGAAGCACTATTTTCGCGCCGATAATCGACCGAGCTTCTTGTTCCCACAATGCAAAGTGTAATTTAAAAAAATACGGAAAAACACCTGTAAAAACCAAATACAGAAAATTCCTTCAAATTATTACGGTATATTGTACTGTATTTTTAGTATATTATACTATATTTTTACGGACTTTTTTTACAGTGTACATTTAAGAACTGAGTAATATTAATTAACTACATGTACTTACTATATGGTTAGGGTTAGGATTAGGGTTTGGCTTAGGGTTACTTGCATTTAATTATGCATAATTAATTGTTATTACAATAGTAAGTACATGTAATATGTGTAACAAGGACACCTTAAAATAAAGTGTTACCAAAAATTAGACCAGGTTGAAAATTATTGAATTAGCGCAACCAACTTGAACCCACAGAGAAGTCTGCATGGGGAAATATTTTGCTTTTACACAAAATTTCCATTTGCATGGATACCTGTTGACATGACTAGATTTTGCCCGTGAAAAATTGCAGAACAATAGTTAATGTGACAGCACTTTTAGCCTGTGTGTAGTTAGATTGCATGGTGTTGACCAGCACTGAAATGAAACTCTATGATCCTTGTGTAATTGTCTTGATTAAAACACTTTAATGCAATGAAATAAATCTTCTCAACTGAATCTTCTTATAAACTGATTACTGAAGAATCACACACAAAGTGTGTGCCGTTTGGTGCTGTAACTGACTAGTGAAGGTATAAAATGAGAACTATAGTCATTCATGCAAGTGTAATATGTTGAAAATGTCCAATAATTATGGGCATATGCATTGTTTGGTCACAGATGGAGAGGTCTTCTTGACCACCGAAGAGATGGATGTCTGTTGAACACTTGCAGCTTTCCTACTAATGCTTATAGTAGCCTGGGGGATTAAATGAGCACATTCATTTCTTAGATGAGCATAATAATTGATAATTAATTCTTGTGTCAAAAAATTTTTTTCAGACCAAATATGTTAGGATGTATAATTATACCTCATGTTGTTTTAGACTATTTGAAAATGCATACAAAGAGCATGATCCTACCAATTTGAAAAACTAACAGAATGCATAGTCGACATAAAAAACTGAATGACGGGTAATTTCTTACTCCTAAATTCTGAAAAAACCAGAGGTGTTAATTATAGGACCTAAAAACTCTGCATGTAATAACCTAGAACACTGTCTAACACTTGATGGCTGCTCTGTCAGTTCTTCGTCATCAGTTAGGAACCTAGGTGTGCTATTTGATAGCAATCTTTCCATTGAAAGACACGTTTCTAGTATTTGTAAAACTGCATTTTTCCATCTCAAAAATATATCTAATACGGAGGCCATCCAGCCATGGCCTTCTGAGTTCCCTGCTCAGCCATGGCTTCCTAGTCCGCCTGCTCCGCCATGGCTTCCTAGTCTGCCTGCTCCGCCATGGCTTCCTAGTCTGCCTGATCCAGCCATGGCTCTCTGAGCTGCCTGCTCCGCCATGGCATCCTGGACTGCCTGATCCGCCCTGGAGGTATTCCCTGTGTCCCAGTCCTGCACCAGCCTCCAGGGCACCCACCCCCCCTCCCTGGTGGAATTGTTACGGCGTGGGATGCGCCTTCCGGGAGGGGGGAGTAATGTCAGACTCTGTTCCGTGTTTTGTGTGTGTTTTGCTCCCCATGTGTTCCTTATGCCCATATTTGGTTCTTCCTTTTCCTGTTCCCATTATGTTCCCCGATTAGTTCTTCATTTGTTACCAGCTGTGTTTAGTTAATTATCCTCATTCCCCTGTGTTTATAAGCCCCAGTCTGTTCAGTTTGGTTTTGTCGGGTCTACTTGTTGAATGTTCGTCGATTCCTGTGCTACGTGTGTGTTCCTTGGTGTTAAAATAAAGTTAATTATTTCTGGATTCCCTCCGTCTCCTCGCTCTGACACAGTAGCAGCAGCGTGACACTTACATAATGAATTAGACTTTAATCTACAGTATGTATCCATTTACTTAATTGTTTACTTATTTTATTTGGTTTTACTTGTCAGCTTAGTCCCAGAAACTGGCTCAGCAGTAATATGAAACTGTTTTTAATATCTGACTAAATAGTATTTTATTGTGTGACACTTTAAATGATTTGAAAATGAGAAAGAAAAAGAATAGCACAATGTTCACTGAACAACTACGCTAGTTCAATAACACAAATGGCAGTTTGCCCGTTAATGTGTCAAGATATTAGAGGGCTAGGTCTACTTTCAATAAAACTTGATCTGAGCACACTGGGACTTTTGTTTATGTAATAATCTTGTGGAGTTCAGCAGGAAGGGCTAAACTTGCTACCAAACAGTTTTTTGAGATCCACCCAGATGTATCCCTGCAGTGGACCTTAAGCACAATATCTTTCATGCAGATGTTGTCCTGTATTGTAACTAAATGTAAGCTTTGTGGGAATTAAACACTTTAGAAATAACAGAAATGGACAGTATTAACACAGTAACTCAGATGAATGAGGATTCAAAACAGGAGAAAAGTGATGATGATCAGTCAACGTCAAGTTCACAGGTTGTTTGTGGAGGGTGTCGAAAGAAACTCCGAAGTTTGTTAACGATGAATTACAAAGAAGAAATTGTAGTGCAGGTGAAACTGGCTGGACCAGTGGTAAGTATGATTATAGATTTATTAAGGCTTTATGGTGTTAAACTTTGATTACATCCAATCAACTAACCAAATATTGAGATGAGTTTTCTTTCACTGTTGACTGACAATGACATTATTTCCAAATATTTGTTTTGTAAAGTATGAGGTTTCTAATTTTGAATGTAACTATTTAAATCAAACATTGACACTAAAATAAACTAAATAGCATAAATTGTGGTATGATATGAAATTCTGAATGTTAATTTGATAATTTGTACCTTAAATACAACCAAAGTCACAAATTAAAAACTATATTCAGTTATATTTATAATAAATATTTAATTGTAATGATATAGGCACATTTTTTAGTAGTCTATTTTATTTGAAGAACATGACATAACATGATCAGTATTCTGGAATACCATAAGTTTATTTCTCAAAAAGTGGAAGTGTCTGTTACTGAATACTGGAAATGTTTCCTCTTTTCATGCAGTTTATTTCTCAGCTGATGATCTTTCTGATCAGCTTCATCAGCACTGTGTTCTGTGGACACTTGGGGAAAACTGAACTGGCCGCTGTGGCACTGGCTATTGCTGTGAGTTAAAAAAAAAAAAAAAAAAAAACTTAATTATAGTGGCATTAATTAAAAGTCCTTTTAGGGGAAAAAAAAAATGTCCTTTTTGCTCACAGGTTATTAATGTGTCAGGCATCTCTGTTGGTTTTGGACTGGCGTCTGCTTGCGATACACTCATCTCTCAGGTCTGATAGTGAATGCACTATCTATGATTATGAATATGAGTGAATATGTCATTTGTGTGTCATTTGAATTGAATTGTGTCCTCCAGACGTTTGGCAGTAATAATCTGAAGCGGGTGGGTGTGATACTGCAGAGAGGGATTCTCATCCTCCTGTTGGCTTGTTTCCCCTGCTGGGCGCTGCTCATCAACACCGAGCCCATCCTGCTGGCTGTCCGACAGAGCCCCAGTGTGGCCAGGTCTGATAAATTCAACACTCGCTAGATACACTTCAGACCAAAGTTCCTTACATTTACCCTTTATCGAAACTGACATTTATATGTATATATGTTTATGTGATGTTTTGAAAAATGGATGGATGACCTTCAATTTTGTATTTATTAATTTTGAACATTTTTAGCATTCTTAATTTTGAAAATTCAGCTTTGCCATCACAGGAAAGTATTACATTTTTAAATATATAAATAGAAAACAGTTATTTTAAATTCCAATAATACTTCATAAGATATATTTCATTTCATAAGCATAAGAGACGTCCTTCAAAACATAAAAAAAACGTAGTACTTTAGCAAAACTTACTTGAATCTGCTCATAAAACAATAGTCATAATATTTGTGGTGTGAATAGTAAATCATTGCTGTGCAACTATTTAATGCAACAGGTTAGCACTATAGTTTTCAACTTTCTCACAGTTGCTTTCATTGTGGCTATTCAGCAGTTTTCAAAAATAAACAGTTAATTAATATAATTTGTGACCGTGGACCACAAAACCAGTCATAAGGGTCAATTTTTTGAAATCGGGATATATACATAATCTGAAAGCTGAATAAATAAGCTTTCCATTGATTTATGGTTTGTTAGGATAGGACAATATTTGGCCGAGATACAACTATTTGAAAATCTGGAATCTGAGGGTGCAAAAAAATCTAAATACTGAGAAAATTGCCTTTAAAGTTGTCCAAATGAAGTTCTTAGCAATGCATATTACAAATCAAAAATGAACATATAGTCGATCATAGTGCATAGACTGTCAAAATGATAACAATTAATGACATTACAAAAACTGCATTACTTGTCATGTCTCAGTTCGACCTGTATAGAACATACAATATGAGATCCATTTAAAAAAAAAAATAAATAAATAAATAATAATAATTCAGTGAGCTGAACTCTTTTTTTTGTGTGTAAATGTGTGGATTAATTTTAGATTGTATGTGCACAGCATAGTGAAGGAGTCATCAGTACTTTATGGAATGTAAAAGAAAAGTGACAGAATTGCTGCAGACATACACAGGAATTATAACAGTAATATAAGAAAAACAGAAAATGATGGTCTGTATAGCGCAGACCAGAAGGCCACAGTACAAAGAGAGAATGGGCTGCACAGTAAAAAACACAGTGTCAATTTAACACTTAAAGTGTCGAAACTCCAAGTGTAAAGTGTTACACTTGCTATTGTTTAAATTTTACACTATGGGGTATTTAACACCCCTGGTGTTGTTTTAATCCTTTAAGTGTTATTAATAAAGTACTCTTTTCAGTGCAAACAAAAAAATGCTATTGTATGGTGTTAATGTACAAGATTAGACATAAAATCAAGAGTCTTCAGACAGATGTATAAATTTGAACGTTTATTTAACAAATGGGCAAAGTGGCAACTTTAAAACATATATCAGATGTGTAGAGGTTAATTAGTCAGTCACATTCATTAAGTGTTGCACAGAAACATAAAATAGTTAATAAAACACAAAATCATCAAATTTACCTAGACATGAACAAATATGACAGGTAGATTTGACAGTTGTGTAGCATCCATGAATGATGTTCCTCGTTGTCCCATCAGCGAGCAGCTATGGCTGTGGTCTCTTCTATGCAATCAAGCTGTTCTTCTTGTTAGTGCCTGCAGATCAAAGACAAAAATAACACTCAAGGTCAGCTCTCCAACTGATTTTATTTACATTAGTCTTTAATACACAACCCATCTGGCAATATTTTGAGGCAGACAATAGGTAGTGACAGAAACGTCCAAATGTACCTTTTTGAAGATGTTTTCCAGCTTGATAGGAGGACATGTTTCCAGGTCTCTTGCAGCCTTGTGGTGATGGTGGAATCAAATGAAGTAGGAGACAAACTGATGCAATATCGCTGTCCCATTCTAAATAACAGATATGACAACTTCAGCAAAAAAATGCATGAACACAGAATATAGATAAAGTATTAATATAGATAATCTTATTCTGAAATATAGTCTAACCTTCGACATTGGTTTCATCCTCCTTTACAGCTGATTCCGAGATCAATTGGGTCCTTGAATGTCTTGGGAGAAGCCAGGAACTTGGCTTCTTGAAAATAAAAAAAATAAAAAAACAATTAATGACAACAATATCTCTCTCAGGAACCATTCTGCTAAGTTGATTGTGTAGTCACACAGTGGCTCTGTTCACACCTGGCATTAGCATGCATATGGCCACATTCTTTTATTACAGGGTTAGTTCAAAAGTGAAAATGTCATCAGTTTACTCAGCCAAGACTTTTGTTATCTTTTAAACACAATTGAAGATATTAGAATATAAGATTTCTGTCCCTTGAAGGACAGTCCACGCAACTACCACTTTGATACTTCATAAACTTAATTAAGAGATCTAATCCATAAAGAGAACTAATCCATACGTGGTTTAGTCCAAATTTTTGGTTTTTCTGTTTATGTTCTCTGATCAATGTTTAAATTTGAAAAATAAAATTCAATCTGTTCATTGTAAAGCGATCGAGTCTCTTCAGAAAATTTGGACAAAACCACTCGATTCATTTGGATTAGTTTTATGATCTCTTTATGAACTTCTTGAAGTATCAAAGTGGTAGTTGTGTAGATTGTCGATGGAAGGACATTTTCTCATTTAAAATATCTTAATTTGTGTTTTGAAAATGAATGCAAGTCTTGGAATGACAGAGAGTGAGAAATAATGAAAATTTTTCATTTTTGGGTCAACTAACCATTTATCTTTTTGCAGTTTGATATCTTAAATTAATAATTAGAAAATTCCAGGTGTGAACATAAGCTGATATTGTGTGCCTGCCCAGTTCAACTTTAATTTTTCATATTCATTTGTGCGTTTAAAATTTGTATTGCACATAGAATAACATATAAATGACACACTCGCAATTCTGGCGTCATCTTCAGCATTCTGCTCCTTTCTTGAAGGGCTTCCATCACTCACACTCAGTGACATCAGACTCCCAGTTTGCAATCTTATGAGAGGAGCTGCCTTCATTTGACACTGCAGAAGTCGGGGCCAATTCTATTGAAAAAGGATAAAAAAAACACTTATTTCAGTAATTTAAATTTACATTAGGACTGTAAATATGGTAAAATAATTGTGATTACCCCTAATTTTGAGTATGCTGAGAACTGTCTATAATACCGGTGTCAAATCGTAAACTACTTCTTTTTTTTTTTTTTACATACTTCATTCTAGGGTCAATTAAATGAAACATTGTGCAATATTCACATGGAGGCCTGAAACAATGTAAGTATTTATTTAATCTGATAATTAAATACATTTGTATAATTTTAATGAGTAACATGAGTAATAAGGCATCTTAAAATGAACAGTGTACTACATTAGAATAAATTAACACGTGTTAAGAATTAATCTTACTATTAATTTATTATTTATAATGTGAAAATAAAATACAGATAGATTCAGACATATTTCTCCATTAAAACTTAACTTTGTATATCTATAAATATTTAGGACATTATTTAACCCAAAATAGCATGCCATATGAATTGATAAAGACTGGTTTCAAGCTAAAGTACCTGCATGCTCTGCCAGTGGGCACTGACGGAAATTGAAAGACTGACGGATTTACAGTTTAACGTACATTTAACTCACTTTCACAATGCTTGCATAAACGTAATTGTCATAAGAAAAACTTGATGGCAGCGCGTAGGGCTGCACGATAAATCGAAATGGAATCGAGATCGCGATTCGACAGAAGCTGCGATTGTCATGCGTATCTTTCAGTACGGTGTTATGCGTCACAAAAACTAAATTGTTAGAGCGTAATGTTTAACAGTCCCACTATTACTGTTTCAAAGCATGGAAACAGCAAAATGCCACACTCAATGCTTTCAAAAACAAATATAAATTTACCATTTGATGAATTCTCTCATTTGAGTAGAAAACCGCCCAAATGTGGCTGCTTATAGATTGGACAAAGGGATGTTAGCAATTGAAAAAACTGTAGTATCCTAATGAGTTTTGGCATAAAAGAAAAATCGATAATTTTGACTCATACCATGGTTTTTTGGCTATTGCTAAAAATATACTCCTTAAGACTGGTTTTGTGGTCCAGGGTCACATTTGGTCATGTGACATCCGCATGGACCTACAGTCCTGTCAATGAAGTTTCTTTAACAGTGTGTTATTACTTTCCTCTCTCAACAGTCTATCACAACTCTATGTAAAAATATTCATGCCTGCTCTGCCTGTAAGTGACACATTACTTTAAATTAATCTGTTTAAATATATGAGCCTGCAAAATAAAACTGTAAAGAACTATTCCACAATGTAAGTGGAAAAAAACTATTCTACAATGTAAGTAACAATGTGGAAGTGTGAAATAAGCATAAGAAAGTTTATTTTTCCATCCAATTATGCTTTTCGCTGTCTTTGTTACCATCCTCAGGCTGCATTTGTCTATCAGCTGCAGGGAAGGTATCTTCAAAATCAGGTCAGGGCTCTGTTGCTGAAGATCTTTTTTTCTTCTTCTTTTGCGTTCTTTCTTCTTCTTTTGCTTGACCTTGTTTGTTCATGTAGCCTAGTTCATGAGTCTGCTTTTCTCTGTTTGTTTAGGGTATTATTTGGCCTCAGGTCATCACAGGAGCAGCAGGAAATGTCCTCAATGCTTTAATAAACTACATCTTTCTTCATCTGCTTGATCTTGGTGTGGCGTAAGCATTTTGATTTTGATTATATCTTATTTAGGGACTTGGTATGTTGCCTTTATTCAGTGTGAGGGATTAGAGAAAAGTGCAAACTTCTTTTATTTATTTAAACTTCAGTTAGATTCGGTTATTTACAAAGTCAAAATGATTAACTGGACTTTCTTATTAACTATCAGAGGATCTGCTGCTGCAAACACCATTGCCCAGTATTCCTTGGCTGTGTTTCTCTTTTTTTATATTCGATGGAAGGGCCTGCATAAAAACACATGGGACGGTGAGTATCTATCTATCTATCTATCTATCTATCTATCTATCTATATATCTATCCATTCATCCATCCATCCATCCATCCATCTTAGTGTATGACTTGCAGTAAAAGAAGAATATGTAACATGTCCTGGTGCAAAGTATGTTGTTTTCTTTTTCAATATTTAACCAGAAAACAGTTTACTATGTGACTCGTTAAGATGGTGTGGAGGAAAGTTCATTGAAATGTTTCTGATGAGTCATGTGATATTTGCTGTGATATATGTGATAAAAGCATATTGCATTTGCTGATAAGCATGCTGATAGCTTCAGATATCCTTGATAAATATTGTCTTTCCCGATCACCAGCTCAACACTTGTCAATATAGTAAACTAATGGAACTATCAATTATAGTGCCATCTATAGACAGTTCAGTCACACTTTAGTTTGGGGACCAATCTTCTCTATTAACTAACTATTAACTATGACTTTTGCCTCAACAGACAGTTGTTATGTTTCGGTATGGGGTAGGATTAACGGATCTAAAATATGGTCATTCAGAATAAGACATTAAAGGGGTCATATAATGTTGCTAAAAATAACATTATTTTGTGTATTTGGTGTAATGAAATGTGTTTATGCGGTTTAAGGTTCAGAAAACACATTATTTTCCACATACTGTACATTACTGTTTCTCCTCTATGCCTCGCCTTTCTGAAACACGTAGATTTTTACAAAGCTCATCAGTCTAAAAAGCAAGGTGTGCTCTGATTGGCCAGCTATCCAGTGCATTGTGATTGGCCGAATACCTCAAGCGTGTGACGGAAATGTTACGCCCCTTACCATACTACACAACATGGCGGCGGCGGTACGTGGCAGCAACAATAAAGTTACGCCTTCCATCCATTTCTTTGCGTGAACATTTGGGCGTGTTATGCAAATATTCCCACACAGTGACGTAGACATGTGGGGGTGTTTGAATGAGGCGTTTTAGGAGGGCGTGGATGACTCTTAACTTTTATAAAGAATATCTCTTTGGGTTTGAGACTTTAGTCTTTAGCTTGTAACACTTCAAAGAGAAAGGAAAGCTTGAAATCACATCATTTGACCCCTTTAATATGTGCTTTATAAGTACTAATAAACAGCTAATATGCATGCTAATAAGCAACTAATTAATAGTGAGAATTGGTCCCTAAACTAAAGTGTTACAGACACTTCTGTTGGTCTACATCTGTTACATCTCTTTCTGTGTCACATTAGGCTGGTCTTGTGATTGTCTGCAAGAATGGGGTCCATTCAATAGCTTGGCTCTTCCCAGCATGCTCATGCTTTGTGTGCAGTGGTGGGCATATGAGATTGGTGGATTCCTGGCAGGTTTGCAAACTATCTGTGTTTTTATGCAATTAAATTTAGTTTGTCATGACTACATTAGTTGTTCATTGTAGGAATCATCAGTGAGGCTGAGCTGGGAGCCCAGTCTGTTGTGTATCAGCTGGCTACTATTGCGTTTATGGTATGTTTTTCAAATGTTTCTTTGTTTTTAGAAAAATGTACACCTATACTGGCTTCAGGGTGTTCTCAGCACCAGTTGTTTACTGGTCAATGTGTCAAGATATTAGTCTTACATTTATATAAACAATAACTGAAACTGGAACCCATGACAGAACTCTGAAACTAAGACGTGTACAGTTTTGTTATTTCACATTCACTCTTTTTAGATGTTTAGAGTATTGTGTTCCATTAGCAATAGTATTATGTTATCTTCTGCCTGGGTGGTAAAACAGGCACATCAGTTGGTGACAGCAATAAATCGTATTTTGTGTATTGAATTTTTGCACACTGGACAATTCACAAGACGTTTAAATGTTGTATCAAAATCCCCAGAAGTGAAAAGCATAAAACATCAATTGCTTATGGGAAATTTTTTATTGTAAGAAAGGGGGTTGTGTGAGGTCAAACATCTGTAACAGTTGCTGTCACCGCCTTAATCTATCATATAATTGAGAATAAATTTAGTCCAAAGTGCATATAAAATTAGTCAGTCTTTCTTTTAAGTAAAAATTTTATAAAAATAATTGATGTTGAAATAAAGGGAAGTCGAACATATCAAAAGAAAAACAATTTCAGCAACAAGTTCTGTTTCTGAACATCTGTGAAAAATGATATTTGAATCACTTAGAAGTAGGTTTTTTGTTTGTTTGTTTTGTCATTTATATATTTATTATTCTCACTTTTCAGTTTCCAATGGGATTTGTAATAGCAGCCACTGTGAGGGTGGGAAATGCACTTGGAGCTGGAAACCCAGAACAAGCCAAATTGTCTGCCAAAGTGTCTTTAGTCTGTGGACGTATGTGAACAACTAAACTAAAAACGTTTATGCAGCATGATTACTTTTTCAAAACAGGATTAGAATGTATGTTACCTTGGTGACCAGTTGTCCACAGCATGATACTGTATGTAAACAATGGAGAAAGCTGTATGGAGAAGCAGCATATCCACCTTTTTCCTTCAATCCCATTATGGGAGTAACTTTGTTAAACTGTAAACAATCAGTGAAATATTCGCTCTATGAATAAGCATTTTCAGAAACTGAGTGCAATGAGGTAACATTATTCGACTCACCCTTCAACCATTAAACATTAAAAGGGAATTTAAAATTAAAAGCTTTAACAAATCGCTTTTAACATACCATGAATAAAAATATAATCAGGAGGATCATCAATCCGACGGATTAGGATTATTTGTAGCGCAACTTTATGACTTGAAATTATCTTTTTTTTTTTTTTTTGAGTGGAACATTCCCTAACCAGAGGTGTCTGCCATAATTTAAAACAACTGATTTATAATAGAACATTGTTTTAAATGAAGAAGGCTTGGAAAAATGTGGATAGAAAGGTAAATATTCTCTTAGCTATTTGCCTACGTTTATTGGCATAGTTTTATATGAGTCATGTATGTTATATTCACTGGGTTGTAGACAATCATGTCCTCAATTCACTAGAGATCCACAAGCCTGGTTGACCACTGTTAAGGCCGAGAATTCCAGTAATGGTTTGTAATCCTTCCAAGCAATTAGAAACTTTCTTTACTGTGCTTGGAATGGTTTGAAACCATGGTGGAAAAGTGGCTTTAGTTACCGTGCTGAGAAGTCTGACCGTAATCACACCAAACCGTGCTCAAGTGGAAATTGACCATTCCTCACATTTCCAGAAACTAGTGCACATGAGCCAAACTTTGGTCCTGGAGGGCCACTGTCCTGCAGAATGTAGCTCCAAACAGCTCCAAAACACCTGCCTGGAAGTTTCTAGTGACCCTGAAGACTTTGATTAGCTGGTTCAGGTGTGTTTAGTTAAGGTTGGAGCTAAACTCTTCTGGTTTCTCTGGTGTTGTTTTCTAGTACTTGCTTCTTGTATAGTCGCAACCTTTATTGGAAGTACCAGTGATATTATCGGATACATCTTTACCACAGAAGAGTAAGTAGAATAAGAAATAATCTAGCGTTCTGTTAAGATTTTAACATAATACAATTTTACATGTACGGTATCCTCTCTCTCTCTCTCTCTCTCTCTCTCTCTCTCTCTCTCTCTCTCTCTCAAAGGGAAATAGTGCTCAGAGTATCAGAGGTCATGGTCATGTACAGCTTCTTTCATATATTTGATGCCATTGCGGTAGGCTTGTGATTTATTTTTTCTTTGTTTTGACCAAATTGTAATCTGTCTGTTTGTTTATTCTTGAGCAAGAGAATTAGATTTTTAAAATCAAAATCAAATCCCATTTTCAATAACTCTTCTGTCCTTTCTTAAGTGGCTTTCCTGTACATTACAAAAAAAAAAATTAATAAATGAATAAATACATAATCATCTGTAAAATAGTATACTTTTACTTTGAGTAACAAAAAATGCATAATATATGTAGAATGCATCCTAAACTAAGTTTAGTGTATTATTTTCTTCTTAAATCTTTCCCAAAATATGTTTTTTTTTAAATAATCTAAACAAAACTTAGTGAGTTTTAATAACAGAAAAAATTAAATAAAGCTTAGAGCATAAAATGTGTGATATTTCAATTTCAGTTTCTTTCTATTTTTATTTTTTTAAGATATTCACTTAAGATATTGAGAATGTCTGATAACATCCTGTTGATAATACTTAGGTTTGTTTTTCTGTAGGGCATTACAGGTGGAATTGTCAGAGGTGCTGGAAAGCAGCTGCTTGGTGCTCTTTGTAACATTATAGGATATTATTTTGTGGGATTTCCAATTGGAGTGTCTCTGATGTTTGCTCTCAGCTTGGGCATAATTGGTAAATGACTTGAAAGTGTTGAACTATTTGAAGGATTAATCTCAGGTGCCACACTGAACGCCTCCATGACTTTCCTCTTGTTCTCTCTTGCTAGGTTTGTGGACTGGATTTTTTGTGTGTGCCTTCTCACAAACTTTGTTCTTTGTCACCCTCATTTGCAAACTGGACTGGGAAAAAGCCACTCACGAGGTGGGTCAATTTTCTTTACCCACATCTATATAGTTTATTTTGATATGCTAATTTTTATTTTTATTTTCTTATTTTCAGGCCTTGATCAGAGCAGGTGTACAAGCCCCTCAGACCAAAGATGAATCTTATGCTATGGAAAATAAGGGCTGCACAGAAGGTACTTTCTGTCTACGGTATATGATGACTTTAATGATGAACACAAAATGTTTATTTCATCATGGACTTTCCCTTATGTTGCCTGATTATTCTACAGAAGTACCACAGGAGTCCCAGCACAATGAAGAAGGCCAGACAGATGCAAACACAGACCTTGAAGGGCTCGGTGAAGGAGAAGGAGAAGGAGGAGAAGGAATAACAGTTACTGGCACAAAGGTCACAGTTGGTGCAGTCTTGACAACAAAACAACTGGTTGTTCGTCGAGGCCTTGCTGTCTTCTTCATGCTGCTTATATTAGCTGGAGGGATTGTGTTAAATGAGGTGCTCATTAGAATTCTTAGATGAGCAAAATTAATGTTACTTCATCCTTCTGCCAAAATATTCATATTATTTTATTATAGTGTGGTGCTACATGGAGTCCTTGAGTTACGACAATAAAACGATTTCTAGCTTCCTATAAACTACAGTAATTATAGTGCTTTATGTTATGCTTACTAAAACAAATTACCAGGCAAATATCCACCAACTAGTTTTATTTACTCACCAAAGTAAATTTTTGCACACATTTTGCACTTACCAAGAGTTAATTTTGGTTCTTGGTTATATGTTTGTGACTTTCTTTAAGAAATGTGTTAGAACATTCTCTCAGCCACTTTAGGAGAACGTTATAAGAACATCATTGAGGCCAGAGGTGATGGAATATTTTTTATAAAACTTTCTTGTAATGTGACGTATTAACAAAGCTAGAACATTTTATCTGCAACATTTTGAGGATGTTTTGAGGATGTTGTTGAGGTAACAGATTATATTTGAGGACGTTGTTGAGGTAACAGATTATATAATGTGCTCAATAAAACATTGCCACACTGTTTCAAGATAACAAAGGAAGAACACAATACTATTGAGCCCCTGAAAATGGAGGTACTTTGCTTAAAATGGCTGTAACTCCTAAATGGTAAATGTCATATTTTTTTGGAACCTCTTAAAATAAAGCTAAAAGTCTGCACTTCAATCACATTTTGACTGTTGTATTTCAAATCCTTTGTAGCAGTGTATAAAGGCAACAAAAACTCAGTCAGTGTCTGAGTACTTCCGGACCTATATACAGTATATATATATATATATATATATATATATATATATTATTCAACCACTGGAGCTATTTTTCTCCATGTTTGGATATGACGTGACAAGCATGCATTTATATATTTTTTGCACTCTGTCTTATTAACATTTTTAATTAAAACAAATAATGATTTCAGTAGTTTTAGTTTAGTTTAGTTTAACTTTATTGTCTGTCCAGATTTCCTGAACAGAACTTCATCTTTGACACTGGCATAGAAAATACATCCTAACAAATAATACTACACTAGTAGTATTAATTAATACTAGTATATAATATTATGCTTTACTTTGTTATGAAAAATACATTTACCAGGAAAACTACAACCTTATAAATGGCTTCATATAACCAGATGTATAAAAATACCTAAAATTTAAATTTGGTTTGCTAAGAAGTGAAATAACATATACTGTACATAAGTACTATTCTTTTCAGTAGTCTCACTCAGCTGTATTTTGGCCTACACAGCTGGGTTTGGAGTGTGTCCCAAATTTGTAGAAGTCCATAGTACTGTATAATGTACGTCGAGAGAAATGCTCTTTTGTAAGCCTTCAAATGTTATTAGTGATAGGATGGAAAAGCTGGCAGAGATGCATTTTTTTCTCTTAAATAACACTGACAAATTTTGGTGGTATTGGCTGATTGACCCACTCGAGGTCCCAAATTTATTGAAATGGGACCTTGTTAAGATGGATCAAGTTAGAGTTAGCTCAACGTGGTGTTGAGGAAGATGTTAGAAGTGGAAAAATTTCTTGAATCCATTGTTAGATTGCTTTGATGAGGACTTAAAGGCTCCGGAAGAGGACAAGCTACGTGCACAGCGACTCCAGCTATCAGGATCAGGACAGTGGTCAACAGCGCAAGTCCTCGTCTGAGCACAAGCTGGTTCGTAGAGAGCAAGGCTTTAGGTTGGGTTTCTCCATATTCACTCGCCATCACTAGTTTACTCTGCTCTTGGGTGCTCACTTGGACATAGCCGGCCACTTCAGGTCTATTACTTGTTAGCTGGGACTAAAGAAGCAAAGATTAATGTAATTATTGACGCTATCATCACCGGGACTTGAGAATAGTTTCAATTTCAGGACACACGTGATTGTCTTGGTGATTGGCAGGGGTTCCCAAACTTTTTCATCAGCCGAACCCCTTAGACATAAAATATTTACTTGAAGTACCCCCTGAGAATTTAAATAAAAGAAACAGTTCACCCAAAAATTTAAAATTGCTGAAAATCTACTCACCCCAAAGTGTAGATCAGTTTTCATCTGAACAGATTTGGAAAAATGTAGCATTACATCACATGTTCACCAATGGATCTTCTGCAGTGAATGGGTGCTATCAAAATTCAATCAGCTGGTAAAAACCTCACAATAATCCACAAGTAATCCACATGACTGCTGCAAGTTTGTAAGAAACAAATCCATCATGAAGGTGTTTTAACTTTAAACCATTGCTTATGGCAAAAATGTAAAAATAACGCTTCCTTGAGTAAAAAAAAGTCCATCCCTTGTTGTCCTCTCACATCAAAATCCACTAAAATATTTGTTTAGAACTGTTTTGGACTCTTTTCACTTGTAAATTGTGCTTGATCTGTGGATATTTGTCTTCTGATTCAGACAAGACTTTTCATAAGCTTTTTACTGCAGAAAGCAGTTTTATGGATAGAGGACTCACATTTAAGCTAGATGCAGCAATTTGAAGTTAAAACTGTCTTGATGGATTTGTTTATTACAAACACAGTTTTTCACCTCACAAGACCTTAACTTAAAGACTAATGGAGTCGTGTTGTGAATTTTTGTGATTAATCAGCTGTTTGGACTCTCATTCTGACGGCACCCATTCACTGCAGAGGATCTATTGGTGAGCAAGTGATGTAATGCTAAATTTCTCCAAATCTATTTTAATGAAGAAACACACTCGTCTACCTCTTGGATAGCCTGAGGGTGAGGACATTTTCAGCAAATTTTCACTTTTGGGTGAACTATTTTTTTTAATATATATTAGTAATTTAAAGGGGTCATATGATGTTTTTTTAAAGATCATTATTTTGTGTATTTGGTGTAACAGAATATGTTGACATGCTTTAATGTTCAAAAAACACTTTATTTTTAAAATACTGTACATTATTGTAGGTCCTCTATGCCCCGCCTCTCTCAAACGCTTCGTTTTCTACAAAGTCCCTCCTTCCTACAAGCGCAGTCTGCTCTGATTGGCCAGCTGACCCAGTGCATTGTGATTGGCCGAACACCGCAAGCACTCGTCGGAAATGTAACGCCCCTTACCATAATCGCGAGCTTCAGCTTTCAAAATAAATGTAAAGACAGAGCCCGAAAGGGGAGCAGAGTCGCGTGACAGACACAGTGATGAAGCTGGTATGTGTTTGAAAGGAAAACTTGAAATCGCATCATATGACCTCTTTAACAACACATTTGCATGTTTATGGTTCTCTGATGTTTGCTATTTGTTGCTCGACATGCAAGTAAATAGATAAAAAGTTTCAACTCTAATTACAGAAATGAAGACAGCAATACATTCCTGCTGTAAATTCCAATTGTACTGGAAAATATAAATTAATATTTGTTCATTATAATAATGTTGCTTTACAAGTTACAATACTAATATTTATGACTTAAATTCTTCACTTTCAAACATCCAAACCCTCAAACTTTAAAAATTCAAAATCCTCAAGCTTTTATTTTGGTAGAACACTGCTGAAATGCTGTAAACCCACAAAAATGTTGTAAATTATGTGAATGTATAAATAAATTGAATGTTATGTTCCCACATTTATGAGATGTGAACACAGTGTTGCTTTGCTTTGAAACATAGCATCATTTAATCAAATCTCAGGCTTTTAATTGATACATTTTGTAATATAATTTATATAATTAATTATTATCATTTCATCAAATCATGAACCCTCTGCAGTTTCTCCAAAACCCCAGCTTGGGAAACCCTGGATGCTGGGATTACTGTAGCACTTACTTTGTTTCCAGTTATGTCATCCCAAGGTTCAGGGATACTTGCTGAAGCTCCAGTATCAGGTGTTTGCTCATCGTTGTCCTGCCCTTCAGAAACGAGCATATCAAGGATTGACTGTCCTATCGATGGTGCCTTTTGAACACACACTACCTTTGCATGTTTGCCTGCACGTTTCTGAGCCTAAGGAAGACATTAGACAACATTATCACTTTCGACACCCTTACATAATGGTAGCTTGACCTGACCACACAGGTTTGATTTGTTATGTCTTACCTGCTCTGTTACTTTCTTCCAGTTGAGCTTAAAGATGAGAGTGGTGAAGAAACAGGTCTGAATTATGACACAAATCAAGAGGCCAAGCCATAGACCTGAATGAGTGGGAAATCAAAATGGGACGAGTTTCAAGTTTAGAACAGGTCATGGGAAGCAAACACTATCTGAATTTTATTACATGGCTGGTTTGGAGGAGAAAAGATGCTATATGACCAGAGACCTGAATCACTAACAATAACAAGTCTTGATGTGTTCAGGTTATGTATTGAAATTTGTTTTATACAAAAACATACATATTGCCTGTTTTATAGTTTTGATGACTAGTAGTAGTAGTAGTAGTAGTAGTAGTATAAAATTTGGTTTACTGAATTTGTTAGATTAGTGTTTTGTAAAGTGTGGATTGGTGTTTAGAAGTTTGGGGTTGGTAAGATATTTTAATGTTTTTGAAAGATGTCTCTTTTGTTCACCAAGGCAACATTAAAACAGTAATACTGTGAAATATTATTACAGTTTAAAATATTTTTTTCTATTCTAATGTATTTTAAAATTTAATTTATTTATTTGATGGCAAAGCTGAAATTTCATCAGTCATTATTCCAGTTTTCTGTGTCACATAATCCTTCAGAAATCATGATTTGATGCTGAAAATGATTTATTATTAATATCAATGTTGAAAACAGTCGTGCTGTTTAATATAATATTTATTTATTCATTTAGTTACTATTTATTATTTTTAAAATTATTTGATGAATGGAGAGACATCTTTTGAAAAATTATATAGTCTTTACTGTTACTTTTTTTGTGTAAAATGTAATGCATCCTTACTGAATAAAAGTATTAACTTTGGTTCAGTTTGGAGAATGAAAAGATTTATAACTAAATTGCAGGGCAAAACTGGAATGCCACATATCTGAATGGAATTAAAGATCTGGGTTGGCTTGACATTCTTTTTTTCTTTCTTTTTTTCACTTATTTTGGCTCCTTTGAAACAACTGAATTTCTGATAAGTTAGGAAAATAGGAATGAAGAGATGGTACCAAGTATCCTGAGCTCGGCC